AAAAAAAAAAAGTTTAAAACATCAAACAGTTGAGAAAGTGAAGTAAGATCAAGGAAACTGCCATAAAAATTCCACTTCAGCCCAGTTACTGCTGAGCTTGTATACAATTGATGCAAATTGAAAACGTTTTGCTTGGGGTAAACTACAAGGGCGCCCGGCTGTCTGTTCACTTAGCCCATTTCCTTAAACTAAAACTAGCAACTGTTGTGTTAATGAGGAGAAAGGAACAAAGTACAACTGCCCAGGGCCTGGACAGGTGTTCAGCCCCCAGCTACAGCCATCCAGCACATTTCTTTCTGTGAATGTTTCTGCTTTTCCACAGGCCGGGGCATATCCTCAGAGTAAGGAAATTCCATCTTAGGGCCACGTTCCTCGGGGAGCACATGAGGCTAAACTAGCATATAAGGCTATAAAAAAATTAGTAATTCTTAACAAACATGGATTGAATATAAAGCTATACAGAAAATCGACATTCTTCACACAAAACTTGACTCTAGAGTACCTTGGAATACTATGCGTCCCTATCAGTACCAGTGGTTGTTGCAAAACGTGATGTAGGTGTTCTCCCAAATCTTTTACAGTGGGTGAGGCCTGGAAGAGGTGATACGGGGATAATAACTTGCTCAATGTCAGTATCAATGATTAGTACTCATTAAGGGCAGAGATGAACGTCTCTCTTATTTATACCATTACTGCCTTGGAATGTTGTATACCACCTGCTGTGTAACATATTTGCTAATAAAATGAAAAAAAAAACCCTGCCAATATTTTATCCATAATATATAATGGAATTACTTTGGTATTGAAACTTAACCACCTGGACTTATTGGTCAGGCATAGTAGCTCACACGTGTAATCCCAGTACTCTGGGAGGCCAAGGCTGGTAGATTGCCTGAGCTCACAAATTCAAGACCAGCCTGAGCTAGAGTGAGACCTTGTCTCAAAAAACAGCCAGGCATTGTGGTGGGCACCTGTAGTCCTGGCTACTTGAGAGGCTGAGGCAAAAGAATGGCTTGAGCCCAAGAGTTTGAGGTTGCTGTGATTTGTGATGCCACATCACTCTACTGGGGGTGACAAAGTAAAACTCTGTCTCAGAAAGGAAAAGAAACTTAGGCACAGAGTTAAAGTATGCCATCTTCAGTATAGTCTTAGTAGTTTAGATTTTAATAAGTCAGCCCCAGAATGTGTTTTTCTTTAAGGGGCTGAGAAGGTAATATGCACAACTTGGACTTTGCCTTAATAGTGCAAACAATGTAACATAATCATTTGTACCATCACATTAATCTGAAATTTTAAAGAAAGTTGAGAAAGTTTTCTTTGTAGGAGACTTATTTTCAAAAAAGATAACCCAGTTAATTGTCTTCAAAAATAGGCCTAACATGACAACCATAGTAATGACCTAGAAATAAGTATATTCTGATTGACTAAAGAAGGACTAAGTAGTTTTGATTTGAAGCGTGTTTGTTTTCTAATTCTTTAAATCTAAGGTGATAGAAAATTTGTATTTACATGTGATGTGACAATGGAAAGAGTTAAGTGGGATTCTGTGAGGGACAAAGAATATAAACGCTTTCCTTGTTTTGCATGAGCAGAATGAGGTGTTAACATTTGCTTTGACTTTATATTTAATGTAAGTCTGGTTGGTGTTTTACATTTAATGAAGATAAAAATTAAGGATGCCAAATCATTTAGGTCATTAAAACATGATTAGAAAGCTAGGAAAGTAGTTAATTTCCTTATATGTAAATAAGTGCGTTTGTAAAAAATAAAACTAATTTGATTTTATTCATTGTTTGTATGAATATTAAAGGTGATGTTGAATGTTACCTTTATTCCATGTAAGTGATAAAACACCAGTTTCCTGAATTATTTTGATTAGATTTTGGTGGTCTAAATATACATAGTATTTGAAAGCTCTAAAGTTTTATATTTGTATTTATAGGCACAGAATCAAAAGTTTCTGTGGGAATTTTAAATATAAAACTTGAAATGTACCCACCACTCAATCAAACGTTATCTCAAGAAGTAGTGAACACACAGGTAAGTAATTCTGAGTTTTTCTTTGTGTATTTATTTTCATAGTAACATATTTACCCTAGAAAGTACTCTTTTTTAAAGAAAATTACTTTTTATTACTTTTTAGATAAGCACTCAAAGATTAACAAAAAAGATGAAAAAAAATAAAGACAATATTATTTTCCTAGACAAGTCTATAATAGGATGACTATTCTTTGAAATAACACAAGAATCACAAAGCTAGGGTGGTGGCTGTTGGCTCAGTGAGTAGGGTGCCAGCACCATATACCGAGAGTGATGGTTTCGAACCCCGCCCCAGCCTAACTGCAACAACAA